TACAGGTATTTTCTGTTTGTTTGTTTGTCTGTTTGTTTTGAGATGGAGTATTGCTCTGTTGCCCAGGCTGGTGTGCAGAGGTGCAGTCTCAGCTCCCTGCGGCCGCCTCTGCCTCCCTGGTATAAGCAATTCTCCTGCCTTAGCCTCCTGAGTACCTGGGATTATAGGCTCCCACCACCACACCTGGCTAATTTTTGTATTTTTAGTAGACAGTAGAAACTGGACCCCTTCCTTACACCACAATTGATGGATTAAATACTTAAATGTATAACCCCAAACTATAAAACCCTAAAGGACAACCTAGGTAATACCAGTCTGGACATGGGAACAAGCAAAGATTTCATGACAAAGACACCAAACACAATTGCAACCAAAGCAAAAATTGACAAATGGGATATAATTAAACTAAAGAGCTTCTGCACAGGAAAAGAAACTATCAAGAGTGTAAACAGTTTACACAATGAGAAAATTTTTGCAAACTATGCATCTAACAAAGGTCTGATACCCAGCATCTATAAGGAGCTTAAACAAATTTATAAGGAAAAAAAAAAAAACATTAAAAAGTGGGCAAAGGACATAAACGCTTTTCAGAAGAAGACATGCATCCAGCCAGCAAGCACATGAAAAAAAGCTTAACATCACTGATCATTAGAGAAATGCAAATCCAAATCACAATGACTTACCATGTCATACCAGTTAGAATAACTATTATTAAAAAGTCAAAAAAAAAAAAAAAAACAGATGCTGGCAAGGTTGCAGAGAAAAAGAAAGCTAATACACTGTTGGTGGAAGTGTGAATTAGTTCAACCACTGTAGAAAGCAATGTGGTGATTCCTCAAAGAGCTAAAAACAGAGCTACCATTTGACCCAGCAATTTCACTACAGGGTATCTACCATTTGACCCAGCAATTTCACTACAGGGTATATACCCAAAAGAATATAAATCATTCTATCAAAGACATGTATGTTCACTCCAACACTATTCACAATAGTAAAGACATGGAATCAACCTAAATGCCCACCAATGGTAGATGGGATGAGGAAAATGTAGTACAGATATACCATAGAATACATGCAGCCATCACAAAGAACAAGATCATGTCCTTTGCAGGAACCTGAATGGAGCTGGAGGCTATCATCCTTAGCAAACTAATACAGAAACAGAAAACCAAATACCGCATGTTCTCACCTACAAGTGGAAGCTAAATGATGAGAGCACATGGAAACATAAAAGAGAACAACAGATACCAGGGCCTGAGGGTAAACGGTGGGAGGAGGGAGAGGATCAGGAAAAATAACAAAAGGGTACTAGGCTTAATACCTGAGTGATGAAATAATCTGTGCACCACACCCTCGTGGCACAAGTTTACCTATATAACAAACCTGCACATGTACCCCTGAATTTAAAATATAAATAGATAAATAAAATACAAAGCTTTCTCCCTTTATTAACCAGAGTGTATCCCAAACTAATTGAATCCTGTAGGTCCTAGAATACAAACAAGGTGCAGCAATGTTTTAATAATGCTGTAGTTTGAACATAGGCAAAAATGTTCATATTAGATTGGAAGAATGTTACAGTTTGTAACTTTGTTGGGTTATAAGTACATGTACAGCCTGACTTGATACTGGCTGTCAATAAAAGGTAGGAACATGCCCAGCCAGCCCCAGGAAAGTAAGAGCCCTTTGGCCCTCTCTCTGGGGCAGCCTGGTATAAAAGACATGTTGTATGGCCTGTTACATTGTGGTTGTATCTGCTAGAAACATCTAGAGAAATTTCTATCCCCAACCCCTCCCCAATCAGCATGTACCTCATGCTGCCTGAAGCAAAGAGAACTGTAACCCTTGGTCTCATTTAATCTAGGGACCCACCTTCAATTCCACACTCAACTCTGAGTCTATTTCTCTGTGCAAAGGGCCACTTTCTTGGTGAAAAAAATAAAAATAAAACAAAATGGCACTTACTTTCATCTACAGAACTAGTCACTACAAACCAGAACCATATGAATTAAAGATAGGCTTTAATTCTTCTAAAGAGAAAAATAAGTATTCTTATCTATTTTAGGTAATACTTTCTGCGGCAAACTGTATTTTTCAAGTACACTATTTCTCCCATCCTACATGTTCTTATGAAGTAGCTTTTACATTCCTCCCATTGAGGGACATGGTCTGTGTCCCCACCCCTTGAAAATGGGTGGGCTTTTGCACATGGTAAGTGATATTCCTTGACTTCTATGGCTAGGTATAAAAAGCAATACAGCTTCCAGTTTGTTCACTGGAATGCTTACTGCTGAAGCCTTCAGTCCGACTCCCCTGAGACTGCCATGCCGTGAGGAATCTCAAAGTAGTCCAAGGGGAAAGACCACATGGAGAGGACTTGAGACTACATGGAGATCTCCAGGTATCCCCCACTGCCTCAACCTTCTGGTTCCTCATTAAGCCACAGTCTGACGGCAACTGCACCAGGGATCCCAAACAAGAACAACTCTGCTTCTCAAATCACTGATGCTTCAAAGTGGTGAGAAATGTAGCTTTGATGTAGCTTTAAGTCAACAAATTTAGGGGTTATTTATTAGTCAATAATAGACAAACTGTAACAGCTTGAGAAACAACACTATTTACATAAAGATAACAAAGGCTATACAAATAGTATACTAACTGATGGAAAAATATAAGCTAAATATGTACACTGAATATATACAATATGTAGACTATATTAAAAATTCTATATCAATCATTTTGAATGAATCTATTATATATAATACATTATATATAACTTATATATTTATTCATCCAAAAATAATCACTTAATCATTTGCTGATGCCAGACACAGTGATGGACCTAAATAAGTATGTTCAATCACTTTTCCATTTAGACACTTGAAGAATTATATGTACTCCTGTACAAAATAGTGGCCCATCATGGTGATGGATTCTTAGTGGGTGTGGTTACATCAGATGCTTACCCAAACTTCATTTCTTACCTTCTTTCTAGTAGAATCTAATTTTCTTGGAGATGACAATGTGTCCATCTAGAAATTATAGTTCACAGCTTCCCTTGCAGCTAGAGATGGCCATGAGGTGGTTTTGACCATTGAGATGTAAGTGGAAGTTGTTGTGTGGGACTCCTGGAAAGTCCTTTAGAAGGAAACAGATCTAGATTCTATTGTATTTGGTACTCAAGGAAGCATACAAAGACATCTTCCCTTGCAGTATATGGTATATGTGGATATTCTCTGTATCCTTGCCCCTCCCCAGAGTACTTAGCTACATGGCATAATGCTTTGGAATGACAGACAGTAACTACAGTCTGTTATACCCAATTGCTTCCTACAAGAAAGAAATACTGGAAAATGCTGGTGACAGAGAGCTTTGGGCTCCATGTAAGGGATTCTTTTCCAGAAGCTCTCATACCCAGACTGTTCATGCTACTTCTCCATCAAACATCTTCAGTGGGTCCTGATGAACATTATATTGTTTTATCAAAGCTAACTACTTAACATTAGGAAAATAATATTGCAAATCTGTAATACACTTTTCACTTGTCAATAGGTATGCTGGCTTTGTTTTTATTAACATTTTATGTAGGTCTGTCTTTTTAAACTGTACTGTAAACTTTTTAAGGGCAGGGGCCACATCCAGTACATTTTAAAGTTTCTCATAACATTTAGATGCAGTGAAAACCCTAAATACTGACTACCAGTAAATACTGACTATCATTTTGATTTTTCACTTAAATAACATCTATATAGAATATTATAGTACACATATTGCTTTTTAAAAACTGGACAATTTCAAACATACACAAAAGCAGAGAGAAGAGTATAATAAACTCCTATGAAGTGAACCCATTACCCAACTTTAACAATTATCAACACCTCCTTTTCTTTTTACTAGAGTATATTAAAGTTAAAACAGACAACCTATCATTTTACATATACATACTTCAGTGTATATATCTCACATATAAGGACTTTAAAATATATCCATCTGCAATACAGTAATATCTAATATTAATAACTTCCACCTTTTAAAATTTAGTTCATGTTCAGTTATATCTAACTGTTATAAGAATATCCTTTTATGATGGTTTGTTCAAATCAGGATTCAAATGACATTTGGTTAGTATATTTTAAGTCTTTTTATCTACAGAAGTTACCTTCTCTGGTTTCCTTTTTAAAATGTTATTTATTTATTGAAGAAACCAGGTCATTTGCTCTATGGAATTTCCTACTTTTTGGACTTGGCTGATTGTATCCTCTTGGTGTCTTTTAACTCTTCCTCTGTATACTATATTTCCTGTAACTAGTAGTTTAGATACAGAGGATTGATTAGATTAAAGTTCAAATTTTTATTTTTTGCCATGAATACCTCATAATATTACAGTGTATTAAGAGACAAAACATCTGCTTGTCCCACTTTGAATGACATTAAGATTGATCAGTGAGTTCGGGTTGTATCAGCACAAGCCATCCCCATCAACCTTTCTTCTGTTTCCATTCCTACTGGCTCTAATAAATGGGGCTAGCTAATGATCACTGTTTTTTTCACTGTTTTAGCAGACCTTCTCAGTTTAGCAAACAGTGATCATTAGCTAGTCCCATTTATTAGAGCCAGTAGCGATAGAAAAACTATTCTTTTTTGTTAATTTTTTGCACTTAAAAAACCTTGCCTAAAAAAACACCGCCAATTTTTAAAATTCTGTACAACCTAAACATATAACTCAAATTCAAATTCCTTGACAGTCTTTCCAGTCTGCTAAGTGGAAAGACTTATTTGGCACCTATCATCTACTGCCCTGACACATAATTTCATTTGCCAATTGGTAAGCTCCAGGAGATCCCAATTATGTCCTAGGCGTCTTTGTATCCCAAAGATGAACACAGCACATGTACAAGAAATACATAAAGTAACTTTGATTGGTGAGTATTCAAATTAAAAGCCACCGACCCATGCAAACACATGCAGCTAGATTCCAAAATGTAAAATACACACACATATATACATGCAATAACACAAATTTATTATAATACACAGGGAAAAACAAACTTTAACAATGCCCACGGAGTGTTCCAGTCTTTAAAAAGTTAACAGGAATAAAAGGTAATAGAATACAATATCATAATTTTATAATTAAGGCAGTAAAATGGCAAAGTCCTATAGATACTTAAAAATCTATATTTGTATTTATTTACAATATACATATAGGTCCTCAAGGATTCATAGAGTTTTACGTAATAAACTAGATTTGGAACTATTTTTGTTGTTGTTGTTGTTGCTGTTTGTTAGGTAAGCAAACCCAAACAAATTAAGTCCTGAAAAGTCGGATGAAATCCCAAAGGAACTCTATGTGACCACACAGAATGCTTTTAATAAATATGGCCCATATAAATTCTATATCCAGTGAAAATCATTTTGATCCACAATCATGTTGATGTTTCTATGGAGGATACTTTTGGCAGTTATGATTTCTTTTGTAGCATTCTAGCTCTCCATTTCTATTTATATAATTGAGTATGTGTTTTATTATATGTTATCTCACAGGCAAGTTTAACATTTTAAAGACTGCAGGGAGGTTATACGAGGTTGTATGATGAAGGTCGGAAAGTATGCAAGAATTAAACTCTCCTGTTTCATCTATTTTATTTTTGCCTCATTTTGGTCTCTATATCACTTGGGGTCTTTGGAAATTGTGTGATTTATAACAGCACCTGACATACCTTCTCATTTTAGCACGAGTTAGATATGAAGAGCCAAACCTGGAAAACAGTTAAGGAGTCCTGAGACCTTGCAGTGGAATAAATTAGAGCAGCAGTTTCCTTTAGCTGTGCTCTTTTGTCCTGTATTCTTTTTTTAAAAAAAATATAAAATTACTCCCATTTATCAACCTTTACCTTCTCATACTGTAATCAAGTGAAATCGCAAAAGATTACTTAAAGGCAAATAACCTTATGAATCTGGTAAGTGTAAAGATAAAAGGCCATGATATTGAGTAAAACTTAGGCATTGTTGTACAATAAGTATATCTGTATGTTCAAAATTAACCGGGCCTTAAGTACTAATTGTTTAAAGTCCTATGAACATAAACAGTCCTTCAAACCTGAATATAAATAAAAGAAGAAAAAAATTGGGAAAAATACACAAATGTCCAAATATTGCTATTTCTTGGAAAAAAACTCTGCTAATAGTTTTGGTTCTCTGACAAGAAAATGTAAAAATAACAGAATTTTAGAAAGTAGTGATTTTAAAGAAACAAAGTCTATGCCAAATGAATTTTAGTCCTTCGTTATATGGTTTATAGGTCTGGAAACAGAAATCCAGGTTGTTGATTAATTCACAATTCCGGAAAATATTTTATTGTGCAGTATATCTATAACTTTATATAATCTATAGCTATTATGTAGTCTGTCTCTCTCCCAAAGCAGAACAACCCTTGCTTACATAATCAATTTTCCCCTAGATACTTTCTGTGCCACAATTTGCCTCTAGTTGCTTCACAGCCACTCTAACCCAATCTGGAAACTGTGTACAATGGGTAATATTATTTATGATTTAAGGTTGTACCTGCAGTGTGCTAATGATCTGAACATTTAAGTATCTAACTATATATTTAAATAAGATAATAATTTAAACCATGACAATGTAAGAAAGTGGTGCGATACTATAACAGACAACAGATTTTTCCCACTGAACTACACAGTACTTTTTTCATTGACAAATTCACCTCTTTCCAGAGATGTAGTTAATTGTAAAACAGTAATAGCAAAGAGTTCATTAACCCATTAAAACAAATCATCTTATTTTCAAAATAATCAACTGAATGAAACTTGGTGTCAAGTGCATCAGGGTACTAACCCAAAGGATTGCTACTGCGAAACTGTTTGTACAACAAAAGGGTTGTGAGGAAGTCTTATCAGCAGAACTGGTGATGGCTACTAAAAAGATCCTTTAAAAATTATCATTAGTGATTTTAAATGACAAGTTATCAAAAACCCACTCAATTTTCACCTGTGTTAGCTCGCTAAAATGGGAATTAGCTCTAGAGCAAATATAGCATCTTCTTAATATAGTCAATAAATGACAAAGTCAGGGCCTACGGTTGGAGGTTTCCAGACCCAGCAGAGGGAATCTATTGTATCACATGGATCTCCATCCTTGCTCAAAATATCTAATGATATTTTTCATCTTTACTGGACTTCCTTGAAGAGCACTGTATTGCTTCATATCTTCCTTTCACTGTAACAAAATGTGTTAAACAAAACCTTTGGATTAGGTTTAAAAGCCCCTTTAAAAAAAAACCAACAAACTTCTGGCTGCTGTAGGCCCTAACTATCAGAAGACTGTTATCTGGGAGCCTCAGGCTCTCAAATATCAGACATCCCAATAACTTATCATAAAAATACAAGCTCTTAGTTTTGAAAAATATACAAAATGTACTGCATAGGTAAATATCTCTTGATTGTCAAGGAAGACAATATATCACTTTTGATCATAGACTTATGTTGTGCTTCAGTGATCTTTGCTTTTGCAAGTTCCATTTTTCACAGTTTTGGGCAACCTCTGACCTTTGGTGTAAGCACGGTACCAAAAATGGAGAAAGAGCAGCAGAAAGATGAAACCATAACTCATAATGACGTACAGAAAGACAGGAAACTGATACTTGCAATCCTCCATGAAAAAGAACTGGCCTATGTGGATGGTGACAATAACAAACTGGACCTAAAAAATGAAAACGTGAAAAAAAAATTATCCAGATATGAAGAGTTACAATTATTTACCTACCTATGTTTACGCACTCCCAAGGTGCAGGGAGTGCACTGTTGGACAGAGAAGTCTATCTTTAAATCTAGCCTCCCTGGGAGTGATATGGGTGCTATACTATCAAAAGCCAGTTGGAAGAATGGATCCACTATTTAGAACCGCAAAATGGCACAACTGCAGGGTCCGTATTTAAATGTTTCCTGGTGCTGTGCAGTGCAGCAAACTTTTCACTACTCACAGAATCAACAGAGCAAGTTTTCTCTATAAGTCTCTGACTTGAGTCCTTGACTATGATGAAATGACCATGGGACCACTACCTTGTGGCCTATTTTCTCAGGATGATTTCAATTTCAAATATTCTGTCCTGATACTGGATCAGATATTTTAATTTTTGGAAAATAAAAACATTTTACCTAGAGCCCCTTGAATTTTTTAGTAGCCAAAGCATCTCTGAATCTTTATACCTGCCACTTGTCTTCCACTGTCATAGGTGCAAATGTGTCTGAACTGCCAACCGAGGCAGAGAATCTGTAAGGTATAAGAGAGAACTGGTGGCCTTTCTAGTAGTGCTCAAGGGCTCTGTGGAGCAAAACATCTTACACAGTCCCAAAAGGGACCTTTTCTAGGCTAATATTCAGATTTCCTGGTTATCATGTTTTCCCTGATTAAAAGGCAACATATGTTTTATGGAAATTTTAGAAAAGTGAAACTCTATAAAGAACAGATAACAATTACTCACAGTCGATCTAGCTATAATCATGGTTAAGATTTTCATATAGTTTATTATCATTTTATCCTTATCATCATCAGCTTTCCTTGCATTATCTTAATGTATGATTCTGACATTCCCTTAGCATAGCCATTTATTCCTCTCATTTTTCAAAAGAGAAAACAAAACTTTAGGAAGGCTAAGCAATGTCCTCAACATTCTATGCATGTGTATACTTGTGTATAATTGACTTCTTTGAGAATGTAATAAACAAATGTCCATCCTATTTTTTCTACATCAGTATTTTTCCACATTATTAAAACGTCTGTACAACATTTAAGAGTATGTTAAGAGAAAAAAAGCCTAAAAACAAAATTATATATGCAATACTATACAAATCATGTAAAAGGTGTATACATATGCCTGAGAGAAAAACTGGATGAGAATAAAATAAAAACATCAGCAGTGATTATCCCTGGGTGGTAGAATTACATGCATTTTTTTTTCTCTTTGCTTAATTAGGTGTTCTCACTTATTTGCAATGAGATTATACTACTTTGAGAAAATGATAATTTTTAAAGAAGCAACAATGAGTAATTTTCATGACTTCATAGTATTTCAAAGTATGAATCAAAATAGTCTATTTTATGATTTCCTAATGGTTGGTCATTGAGTTTGCTGCCAATTTCAGATATAACAAATAACTCTGCAAGGAAATACTCTGATCTTAATTTTGGATCCTTTTACATTAAAATATCAATCTCTCACCTGGGAGAACACATTATATGAATGTACCAAGTTTCATTTAGCAAGTTCTGTAATTGAAATCTGTAACAGGATTTTAACAAAAAATTAATCTTCAACACACTAAGCCAAATTTATATTTTCCCATTGGTGTTACCGGTAGACTATGACATCAATTTATTATAGACTGCAAATGTGGGAACACAAGGATGGTAGAATTCTCCTTTTAATAGACACCAATAAAACTTAAAGCAAATCATCATCTCAAACCCATAATTATTCTCCAAAAAAATTAAGTACCATATATTTTGAGAATTAATGCTTAGAATGTATTATTAGGTCTAAACTGAGTGCCTCTGCTCTTTCAAACACTGCTTATATAAGGGCAGTATTCAGATTTATGTAATACATATACGTTGGTCTAACCTTCTACATTTTAAATTCTCACAATGCTTTTCATTGATTGGAGGAAAGATGGACTTAAAATGTTAGGACTTGAAAGGTAAGCACACAGGAAAGCTCAGCGTTCCCTCAAAGTTGCATTCCTTCAAGGTAATTTAGATCTGATGGAATTTCTAATTTAGTGTTATACCTATTGAGGGTCTTACAACTTTGGAATTATTTTGATCACAAATGTATTTATTTTTGTACAAATGCATAAAATAGTATAAAGATGGCATAAAAATACACATGCTGGTTTAATTCTCTGAGCCTCCTGGTTACCAAATATGCTTTGTTTTCAACAAAGTTTCTAACAAAGTTCAGCTAACATATTAAGAACAATGATGGTATATCATATAGGGGCCAGACACTTGACTCCTATTGTTTTGTTAACTTTGTTCTTTTTCTTTTTTGAGATGGAGTCTCATTCTGTTGCCCAGGCTGGAGTCCAAGGTGTGATCTCAGCTCACTGCAACCTCCACCTCGAGGTTCAAACAATTCTCCTGCCCCAGCCTCCCAAGTAGCTGGGATTACAGGTGCCCGCCACCACACCCAACTAATTTTTGTATTTTTAGTGGCGATGAGGTTTCACCATGTTGGCCAAGCTAGTCTCGAACTCCTGACCTCAAGTGATCTGCCCGTCTTGGCCTCCCAAAGTGCTGGGATTACAGGCATAAGCCACCGTGGCTGGCCAACTTTGTTCTTTATTTAACTAGTATCCTATTTACAGTAAAAACAAGTGACTCTAGTTGTTTCTTATTTGGTTTTAAAGAAAATTAATTACTCACAAGCTGTAATGATGTCAAATATTTTTTCCACCACAAATACTTCTGGTAGGCTGGTCCCAGCGCAGAGAGTCCATAGTAGGAATACATGACTACATGTACAGCTGTATTCAGAAAGGCATGGAATGTTCCCAAACCACCTGGAAAATAAAATTATTGTAACATGGGGCCATTGTTCCTTAAAATGAACCACATTTTTGTCTTAACTTAGATTTCTGTATAATTATTTCTTAAATTTAGGGAAAAAATATAAAATATAAGTCCTGTTAAACAACTATCAAATTAGAGGGGGCTGAATAGTATATTTAGTAAAATATAAGATACAATTCTGAGAAAGTAAATTAGCATGTCTTTATTTTGTCATATCTTAGCATAAGGTAGTCTTATGATTTGAGTTCACTTAAACTTAGTTACCTTTTAAATATAATATATTGCTAAATAATAGTAACAACATTCATATTTTAGTGAGGGTTAACAAATAGAAAGTACACAAAGTACATTAATCTTAACTTGATGATTTTTCATGTATGTATACACCCACGTAAGCACCAAGATCAAGATATAGAACATTTCCAATACCAGGTAAGATTCCCATGTGCTTCTTCCACGAATATACCCCTCCCAAGGTAACCTTTTCTCTTAACTTCTTAACACTAACTATTAATTTTGTCTGCTATTAAACTTCACATAAATGGAATTACACAGGATGTACTCTTTTGTACCTGGTACATCTATTGGTAGTTTGTCTTTTTACTGCTTTGTAGTATTATACCATATAAATGTATCATTAGTTACCCTTTCTCCTATTGACAGATATGTGGGTTGCTTCCAATTTGGGCTATTCTGAAAAAAGCTGCTAAGAATATTTTTGTACATGTGATTGTGTGGAATCAAATTTACTTTTCCTACTCTCAATAATCTTCATTAAATAATTTTGGCAGTAAAACCATTGGCTTTCATTAGCAAACTGCTATATTTACTTTAATGAATTATTGTTTTCGCAAAGTAAATATCTATTAATTGTTAAGCCATCCTTACTTACTGCTTCCAATTATGCCTTCCTATCTTGGTTTTCCTCTTCTAATTTTGCCACATTTCCTAACAATCACCTTCAATTAAGAATAGAAGCCAAGAACATGTGGGAATGTAAGAAAAGATCATTTCAATTGTCTTTAGCTGGACCAGTAATACAGCAGAAGGGATAACAGAGTGTTTAGCTGATAGTGTGGCAGGGGGAACACTGTCCCCTACGGTCCCTTTCCTACGAAGAACAATCTGGAAAAATATGTGTTCTTTATGTATAGCCTGAGTCAGCTTAGTAATGTTGACCTGGAATTTACATGTTTCTCTAAAACATTCTATTTTCTTAATTCCAGCATTCTTTAATTCTGGAAATAAAGCAAAATCTCATCAAATTAGATTATGGTAGAAGAACTGAATTCATAAATACTATGCATTATAGAAAGTTTAAAGGAAAATACAAATTTATCACTTCTAATATAATCTTATAAGGAAAAAATCTAATAAAATTGTTACACAGGAGAAATTATTTTAAAATAATTATTCATAATTGTAGCAATTCTAGATATGTCTAGATACTAGCACTGCTGAAGTAATCTGTAAAAATAACTTGTTTTAAATAATTACTTTTAAGTTGTTGACTATTCTTCCAAAGCCTCATTTATGCTATGCTGTTCTATATAAACTTTCTCCTCCTGACTAGAGTAAACCAAAGTTTAGCTAATCCCTCAATTACCATAAATTTCAAGTCAGAAGGAATGGAATTAATGAAGCTTATTAACAACTTTTCAGCTTGTATTATTTACACTTGGATTGGTCTTCGTTCCCAAAGAAAATTTGAATAAACAAATTATTGTGGTGTAAGAACACCTTTTCTAAGTTAATTTAAAAATAGAATAGTTCAGCCAGGTGCGATTGTAATCTCAGCACTTTGGGAGGCCAAGGCAGGCAGACCACCTGAGGTCAGGAGTTCGAGACCAGCCTGCCCAACATGGCAAAACCCTGTATCTACTAAAAACATAAAAAATAAGCTGGGCATGGTGCTGGGTGCCTGTAGTCCCAGCTACTCGGGAGGCTGAGGCAGGTGAATCACTTGAACCCAGGAGGCAGAGGTTGCAGTGAACCAAGATCGTGCCACTGCACTCCAGCCTGGGTGACAAAAAGTGAAACATCTCAAAAAAAATAGGATAGTTGCCTACTTCTGATAGTTTAGGAGTCAAGCTGCTTAAAAGGAGGATAAGCCAAATACCTCTCAAATTCATTTGTGTTTCATAATAATATACACATAGAAAATATATTTCACCTTTGATATGAAACTAAGTCAGAGCTTTTCTCACTAAGATGCCCCTCCTATTATTTAATAGAGGAGTGCCTACTTTCTATTTGGACACTTTCACCATTAAATATCCTAAAATGAGAATCTTATACATAGGGATTTAACAAAGCACTAGTGTAGCCAAGAGTGTTTCATAAGGCTTACTGATCAAAATAAGCTGTCAAATAAAAGTAACATGTTTACTCTCTCTAGTTATAATTATTTTCAGACAAGTTATTTTAGTAAGTTTATTTACAAAACAACTATATTTTAATTCATAATGCTTTTTGTATCTTCTTTGGAAGGCTTTCTAACAAAATATTTTCTAAGCCTGTGCTCTTCTTTATGATAATGCGTCTGTAAACAAATATCTGAGAATGAATTACAGTTAGTACCATCACATGTTACTCCTTTAGAAAAAACAAAGGAATCACCTAGGTAATTATCACTGTTCTCCATATCTCTAGAAGGAGATATATGCACAATTAATATAAAAACCTGCCACAGAAATATTTTCATCCTATTCAAAAGAAAACCTGGATTGCTATTACCCCATTGAGGAGTACAACAGAAAAAACAGGAAATTAAATACTAGATAGAGATCAGGTATGCTCAAGTTTCTGTAAAGAACAGTTTAGAATGGACAGTTTCATTCTAGGAATGGAAATCAGTGCTAAACCACATTTCTGGAAACAGCTTTTGTTGTTGTGCTTGTCACTGACACAGATATCAGGTCTGCTGAACAAGTGTTTACTAGAATTTCACATGTAAGATGAATAGAAGTACCAGTACATGGAACATATGAGGGAGAAGAAAACTGTCATCTACTATTTTCATTTTGTAAAGAAGAAGGATTAAGGTGTGAACAAGAAACCCATTGTAAAGTGACTGATGTCCATAAACATAGTAGTATCACTTAAAAATTGAGGTATATCACTCGGACCTGGGAGGCAGAGCCAAGATCGCACCATTGCACTCCAGCCTGAACAACAACAAGAGTGAAACTCTGTCTCAAAAAAAAAAAAAGAGGTATGTCATATTTAAATTCTCATTATTAAAAGCACTGCTTGCTTTTGAAATGGAAACTACACTATCAATGAACTCAAACATGGAAGTTAGAAAAATTCTCAATTCATTAAATAAAACTTATTTCTCCCATTATTGAACTATCAGATATTCAACATACAAAAATTAGAAAATACAGAAAAAGGGAGAGAAATAAAGAAGGAGAAAAAATACCACTTTCTGTTTCACTATCTCTAAATCACCACTGCTTATATTTTGGGATACTGCCTTCCAATTTTTTTTTAATTCACATTTATTTTTCAGTGTGTATTCTGGCCTCATGCAAGAAACCAGAATAAATAAATTATAAGGATATGAAAGCACCTTTTCTAGCATACTTTAAAAATAGAATAGTCATCTATTTCTGATAATTTAGGAGTCAAGCTGCTTAACAAAGAAGATGAGCTTTGTTAAGTCCCTGTGCATAAGATCCTCATTTTAGCACATTTAATACCTCTCAATATCATTTTTGTTTCACAGTTATACATACACAAGTAATAATAACCACTCCATTAGTGATTGTTTAGGTATTTTCCAATTTTTCACAAACACCAATAAGTCTCAATGTATATCACTACAGAAAGAATGGAAAGGGGCCATATGCATAGAAGAAGAAACAGAAACACAGAAAGTAAGGATAAGTAAGATAATTGAGATTAAATAATACAGTTACCATTGATTTGAGAAATGAACACCGCTGGGACTATCTTGTTTTAATGTAAGGTAAATGTTTTTCCTACAAATATTATAGGAAAAAGCAGCTACATTTACTTAAATAATTCCTCAATAATAAATGCCAATTTTGAGCAAGGAGGTATTTTACATCCTGGAAAATCCGATGCCCATAAGCCATGGTAGGGACAGCTTTTACTCATGATTTGCAGCCCCTGTGGCTCCTCTGGGTTCTGGCATCCCCTTCTAGACACTGGCTTATCCATGTCCTCTCATGCTCTGAGACATGTAGATCTTTTTCCTCCATGCTTAGAGAGTCTAGAACTCAAACGAGAGTTCCTCAATTGTGGTTCCTCCTTTCTTTTAGTCTAGCAGAGTCAGAAAGGCCAGTAGAGGCAAACTATTCACAGAAATGTTATGAGCTATGGACCTATTTGAAGACTTCTAGAATTTAAGAAACTGCAATAAATAAATTCCCCAACCAAATTTTCCTAAGGTAAGAAGAATATATCCCCTTGGGGATATCACTGATTTAAAACTGCATAATAGGATAAAATTACTTCTGGTTTCTCCAATTCTAGATGTTCAGAACCCTAAAATGAAAAAGAAACAAATAACCTGTTTTCCAAGTTTTCAATTTAAACTATTTTGGACCTTAGAAACAGTATCAATACATCCTTTAACATGGTAGGATGCTTTAGAAATTTGGGGTAACCACAATTTGACACATCTTTAAAGAGCTATTAGGGGTTAGAGTGTGTGTCAGCTATTAGAAATTTGAAGGCAAATAAGACATGGAATTTGGGATAAGCATTCTAACTTCCTGGGAACATAAAGGAAATTGTTCTCTAACTATACTCCTATAAAGCCAAAGCTTTTACCATTTTATTTATTTATTTAAAGATATTTAATAAAGCTTTTTGGGAAAAAAGTAAAATACAAACAAAACAACTAAAGAATATATGTAGAAGGCTGTGGCCAGAAGTTATGCATATCTAAAGAGTGGGGAAAACCCAATTATTTTAAGAGTCTTATGTTTAGTTTTCAAGTAATAATTCATGAAAAAAGTATAAACAAAGTGACTGATTTTTTTAGTTTCTTATAAATCACATTTCAGAAAAATATTTTTGTTTATAGCATATAGAAATGTTATTGTTTATAACACATGATCACAACTTTCCCTTGCCTACCTGCAGCAAATTTGACTCCAAACCACCAGGTCCATGGCATGATGGTATGATGAAATACATGAAGGAAAGTCACTTGGCTATTTTTCTTGCGCAGAACAAAAAAGATCTGAAATAATTTAAAGAATATCAAGTTCATATAAAATCATGTGATAGTGTATTGAGTATTACAAAAATATTGGCAAAGTGCAAAGTATTTTATAATTTTATCTAAAAGCGTTGCCTTATAGAATGCTTATAGAAGCAGCTAATTCCCCAAGGGGCAGCTCAAAAGCTAATTATTATAAAGAAACTTAGGTAACATGCTTACACATGGCAGAACCAATAAAAAGGTGAAATGAAACTTTATGTAGATTTAAAAATCAAAGATATAAAGTAAGGAACGTGGCCAAAAGTTACTGAAAGAAATTGTATTGGTTAAAAAAAAAAATCCCACTGGATTTTGAAGTATATAGGAAAGTAGAAGACTTAGGATTGAAATACTCCAAATTGCTCTCTAATATATCTTACTGATGTGGATAAAGAATTAGGCAAATGAAGAGGACTTGCAACAGATCAAAAGTTAGCAAATATTAAAGAAAAACGAAGGTAGAAAAAGTTGAAAAGTTAATATGAGAAATATGATGGAAAAGAAAGCAAAACTGCAGAGAAAAAAATTGAGAAGGGGAAGGAAGGTAACACTCAGAGTGAACATATCCTGTGGTTTATAAAAACTCTATAAACAAAAAGGTAGAATCTGGGGGAGGGGGAAATGTATAAAAAACTTTCCAAAGTGAAATTCATAATACGAGTGTTAAGGCTTTTAAATACAAGACTAAACAGAATAGCACAAAGAAAAGGATTAAGAGGAGTATTTGAGAAATGTGGTTTAGGAAAGGACATAGAAGCAGCACAGTTTCCTTATGGAAGCTGGAACTGAGAACATGCAAAGCAGAAACAATGAAGCCAAAATGCATTTGCGTATGCACAGAGAAAACAGCTGAGTGGTACAAGAGAAAAAGCCGTACAGTATCAATCTGGGTCCTAGTCCCAGTCAGTAGCAGCAGTCCTCTGGGTAAGTCATTTAACTTCTTGGCTTCAATTTCTCAGAGTGAAGGTTCTGGACTAATGCTTCTCAACCATGGCTGCATATTACAATATCCAAGCAGCTTTTTAAAAATAGCTATGCTTGGTCTTTCTTCCAGACCATTTGGCACCAAATCCCTGGGGGTAGGGCCTTTTTTTTTTGTCATCATTGTTTTCTCTAATGCAATTAATTCTATTGCACAATTTGGGCTGAGAACCACTAGAATACAGGTTCTCGAAATGTGGTCCCTGGACCAATAGCACTAGCATCATCTGAGAACTTCTTAGAAATGCAAATTTTGAGCTCCATCTAAGACCCCAGTGAGTCAGAAACTCTGGGGGTGGGGATCTAGGCATCTGTGTTTTAACAAGTCTTCCAAATGATTCTAAACACATGTTAAAGTTTGCGAATCACTGTATTTTATGTTCACACAAGCCCGTTCCAGTTCTAACATTATGTGATTAGTCATTTGAAAAGGTGAAGCATATTGAGAGTTCCTATAAGAAATATAGTATGCATTCCAAAGTAAACACACTTTCCAGTCTCAGAGCCAAAACTAGCTCCAAATAACCAAGATACACTTGCTACAAAGATATAACAAATATTCAGCTTTCCTAAACTACACTGGAAACAAAGGCGCATGGCTTTCTCCTCCAAATCACAGACCCTAACCCTTGACACTTGCTTCTCCCAGGACCGGTCATCCAAATTCAGAGTTAATCCTCACCGGGATCTGAAGTAGGAAGAGATAGTGCCCAGTAAGCACAGACTTCAGAAAAGCAGCTGAATTATTGATACCCCAGGAGTAATTCAACATTCTAGTTTAAGTTTATGAATTTTTAAGCACTTATTCTCCTAAAGGAATATAGATGACTGTGCTTTGGGATGAAAAAAAACAAAACAAACAACAAAGGTAAGATGTTTTTAGCTTTTTACTTCCTGAACTTGATTCATAAAACTGTCATCCATCTATGTAAAGATGCAGCTTTGTAGTATATAACATAGTTACATGCTTATCTTAATCAAGTGATAGCTACATAACAGAAACCTTTTAGAGTTTGCAAAATACTGAAAAAATAAAGTTATCCTGTCTATTCTCTAAAGTTACTGATAATAAAAGGTTAAAAAAGATAACAGTAGGTCTACCTGAAAGGAGAAATAAAAGTTATCAGACAAGTGAAACTACAGCAGTTGATTGCTTTCACTGAAAGATCAAACATTTTTTTTAAGAGATCAAACATTTACCAAATGTGATGGCCATACACTCACCGTATCTAATAGCTCAATAAATTTGGAGAAGTAATAAAGCCAGCAGGTATGTGCCATCTGCAGAAGCACAAATAAATATAAATTCATTTTATTTATTTTTTATATGGAATAAAAGCTTATTTTTTAAAATTTTGGTAAAATATACATAACATAAAATCTGTCATGTTTACCATTTTTTAGTACATAGTTAAGTGGCATTAAGTACCTTCACACTGTTGTTCAACCATTCGCCACCATCCATCTATAGAACTTTTTCATCTTGCAAAATTGAAACTATACCTATTTAACTACATCCCATTCCTCCTCGCCCCTAACCCTAGCTACAATTCTACTTTATGTGTCTATGAATTTGATTACCCTGGGTACCTCATATAAGCCAAATTATGCAGTATTTGTCCTGTTGTGACCAAATTGTTTCACTTAGCATAGTGTCCTCAGGGTTCATCCCTGTTGTAGCATGAGTTAGAATTCCCTTCCTTTTAAATGCTGAATCATATTCCATTCTATGATTATGTCACATTTTGTTTATCCACTTATCTTTTTTTTTTTTTTTTTTTTTTTTTTTTTTGAGACAGAGTCTCACTCTGTCACCCAGCCTGGAGTGCAATGGTGTGATCTTGGCTCACTGTAACCTCCACCTCCTGGGTTCAAGCAATTCTTCTGTCTCAGCTTCCTGAGTAGCTGGGACTATAGACACATGCCACCATGCCCGGCTAATTTTTATATTTTTGTAGAGATGGGGTTTCACTGTGTTGCCTGGGCTGATCTTGAACTCCAGAGCTCAATCCACTCACCTCGGCCTCCCAAAGTGATAGGATTAAAAGCATGAGCCACCATGCCTGGCCTTGTTTATCCATCCGTCATGGACACTAGCGTTGATTGTACCTTTTGGCTATTATGAATAATGCTGCTGTAAACATGGCTGCACAAATGTCTCTTCAAGTCTGTTTTTGATTCTTTTAGGTATAAACCCATAAGTAGAATTGATAGATCTTATGGTAATTTTATTTTTAATTTCTGAGACACCAGACGTGAAATTATTCTTAAATCCAAGAAATTCAAAAAGAAAAGCACCAATTTTCATTTTATAGAAAATTATACATGGGACTTTCTTTCCTTCTTGTAATTTTTAGCTTTTTCTCTCCACAACACACAATCTGATAATTGAGTCATTTGCTTATTCTCAGTTTACATTTAATGTTACAAACAATTGACAAAATTTTAACACTGATTTTGAATTTCAAGATTTTCCAAAGAGAAACTTACCCTCAAAGCTGTGGGTGACCGTGAATAGTCAACAATTTCACATTGAAATGAATAACCTGTACCCCAGCCAGACATCACAAACTGCAAGAGAGCACATGCATATTAAGAAAGGAAAGCATTTTCCCAATAGCCCAAACAAAGGTAGTTTTGATAGTATCTGTTCATTACATTTTCAGCTGAGTCAGTAGTCAGTGCAGAGGAGAAGGTAGCTGGAACAAACACAAACCACAAACTCATATATTATTTATATAAACCGTGTTCTCACCAAAATGCTCATCTCTTGGGATGATTATTCTAATATGTGAAGAATAAAACACTTGGAGGGGTGTTTTGCTTACGCAGCAAATACTGGTAGGTGATTTATCTTAGATTCAGCTGTATGTGTGGGAGTGAACGTGTTTGTGTACTCTTAGAGGAATACCTAGATCTGGATCAGTCTTTTCTAGCAATTTCCAGTCTTTCTACTTCGTCAGTAAGTAAACATGGAAACCAGAATGCCTTAATGTACTCATGAGAGAGCTGAGACAACTGGGCTTTTCCCATCATTGGCTGGTGAGTATGATGTAGACTGGTAGTCCACAGCTCAGATATTATTGATAGTTTTACTGTGGATCCACAAGACAAGTAAGAGGAAAATACTCTTGTAAACAATAAAAGTGCAATCCGGCAGGCCTTAATGCCAACGCACCCACAAAGTGATCCAAGGCTGGTGGTGAGAAGAAAGAACCTATTGTTGATAAATCTGAACTGTAATTCAAAGATTATGCTGACATTCTTTCAGTTTGATGGTGGGAAGGGCTTCTTTTAAAACAGTATCTGAAAAGGAAAAGCCAAGGCTCTAATTTTAAATTAACACATATATGAAATGGTATGCTTAATTTAGTGTACTGACAATATGATCAGTATTTCTTTTCTCTGACTTCTTATACATGCCAAATCCTCCCTGGAAGATCTTCTCTCTCAGTATAATGGTTATATCCTTTTCTGCCATTGAACCATTTTAAATTTCTAGTTTTAATTACTATTAAAGGTAAAATTGCAACTTTATAATAAATTACATTCTAGAAACAAAAGCTTATGTGGCATTGTCAGAATAATATTCTGACAGTTCAAAGAAAAGAGACAAAAGAGAAGAACAATTATTAGATACGATGGTATTATGAAGTGCATCATTCTTTTCTGAGACTAGCCCCTAGCTTGACTTATAATTTAATCACACTGTTAACTTAGTAAGTTATAAAATCTTGAAAATTAAGACTCCAAAAAGCACAACATGTATTTCATGAACAAGAAAAATATCTTTCAAAAACAAATCAATAGATTTTCCCAAAGGAATAAGGGCACATGACACAGAAATGGCTAATTCTGTTTTATACTGTCCTGCTGTCAGTGAGTGTCCTCATATTCTCCTGTGCTCAGACTCACTCTAACTAATATAATACTCTATGCACTGTGTTGCATGAAAGTTGTGTGACTTGGCCTTTTACTGGGTCTTAAGTGGTCTCTGCTAGTGTCTGGTGCCAAGTAACTAGCACTTTCAAACAATTAACATACAATAAGGCACCTGAGTTCCTTCAGTCTGATGTGCCTCCCTTTCACCTTCTTCAAATTTGGCCTAATATCACCAGTGGAGGTGTTTGCTTTGTAAACCAAATGAAATCATATTCCATACAAAAAACTATGTGTTCAGATGTGCCATCAACAGATGGATGACATGCCGTGTGGCTGTCAAAAGCCTTTGTGTAACAAGCGTAGAATATTTAAGAGCATTCTAACAGCCTGTGGAACTTTACATATATATGTCTATAATCCAGACTAGTAATAAGAAAAATTAGGCCAGGCTCAGTGGGTCATACTTGTAATCCCACACTTTGGGAGGCTGAGGGAAGCAGATCACTAGAGCCTAGGAGTTTGAAACCAGTCTTGGCAACATGGCAAAATACAATCTCTACAAAAAATTAAAAAACTAGCCAGACATGGTAGCACATGCCTGTAGTCCCAGCTATTTTGAAGGCTAAAGTGGGAGGATCATGTGAGCCTGGGAAGTCAAGGCTGTAGTGAGCTAAGATTGTGCCACTGCACTACAGCTTGGCTGACAGAGCAAGACCCTTTTGGAAAGTGAGAGAGAGAGAGAGAGAGAGAGAGAGAGAGAGAGAGAATAAAAGAAAGAGAGAGAGAGAAAGAGAGGGGAGGGAGGGAGGAAGGTGAAGAGAGAGAGAAAGAGAGAAGGGAGAAAGAAAGAAAAACAGGACAGAAGGAAGGAAGGAAGGAGAATTCTAAGAAAGAAGGGAGGGAGGGAAAGCAAAGGAAAGAAGGAAGAAAAGAAAGAAAGAAAAAGAATGAATGAAAGAAAGAATGAAAGAGAAAGAGAGAAAAAAGAAAAGAAAGAAAAGAGAAAGAATTTCCTGAATTCAAAAATTAATAATTTATATTTGGCAGGTAATTGCTGAAACTACCCATAAGTAACTCAAGTATTAGCAGTAAACAAGAGTCAGAAAGTCTCAAATTCAGATATTTTAAAACCTTCTTTTACACTGTATTTGATCAAGTAGGAATCAAAGCTGACTGTTGATTCTTTCAAAGGCCAAGAAATATATTTGGGGACATTACAATCAATGGCCAATCAGACACAGACCCTAAGAATTTGAGAACAAGAAGGGATCTGAGAGACTATTTGGTTCAATCCTGTCTTCAAAAAATGAGAGAACTGAGGCCCAGAAAGATGAAGTAACTTGCTAAAAACCAGGCAGCCAGCCAGTCAGTGGCAGAACTAGAACTAACTAGTCCCTAATCTCCTGACTTTCAGGTATGTCCTTATCCCTTACTACAACATGCTGTCCCATAACATGCTAGGACCTTGTGTCTTCTTTGCTCCCATCTCTATCACTCTTTCCCTCTCAGTTGCTCATACTCCTGAAGGGACGGTAAGAGTAGCCTGTGAGTTAATTTTGAAAATAAAATAGGAGAAATGGAAAGCAGCAGAGTGAGTCCCAACTATAGGGAGGTCTGTGAAAAATAAGGCTGGAGTAGATTTCTTATTTTATTTTTTTTAAGACAGGGTCTTGTTCCATCAGAAGACATGATCATGGCTCACTGCAGCTTTGACCTCCCAGGCTCAAGTGATCCTCTCACCTCAGTCTCCCAAGTAGCTGGGACCACGGGTGTTTACTGCCACACCAGGCAATTTTTTTTTTCTCCCTATGTTGTTGAGGCTGGTCTCAAACTCCTGGGCTTGAGCAATCCTCTTACTTCAGCCTCCCAAAGTGCTGAGATTACAGGTGTAAGCCACCATACCTGGTCAGCCAGAGTAGATTTAAAGTGATCAAATCTGGTGGATCTGTAGCAAGAGTCAGGTCAGAAAAATGCATGTGGAGAGACTATGGCATCAGGAGAGGTCAGTGGGGCCATATTGGGCCCTTGTGAGCCCTAGTTATGACTAAGCACAAGCTATGCTACAGAGGAAGTTAATAAAAAAGGATGATGAAGCCAGCCAGAGTTGGAAAAGAAGCAAGGAATCTCAGAAAAGAACATGCATGGGGGTGGCTGAGGCATGTTAATAGTACAGAGGAAGAGAGAAAATTCGTGAATCTGTTTTAGGGTCCTGGAAGAGCCCCATCTCTCTTATTGACAATTAAGGAACAGTAATGAATTAAAGAGTTAATGGGAAAAAAAATTAAGGAACAGGCTCCCTCACCTACTGCTTTACTAAGTCTATGCTCTCTGTCCCCACAAAGCCCAGCTAAACCAACTGAAACAGTCTACCATCCTATAGTTCATCAGAGTATCCAGAAACCAAAGGTTTCTACCATGATGATGATATTTCATTACTGAGTCAAGATGAACTCTGATGTCAGATAGACCTGGGTTCAAATATCAGCGCTCCACTTACCAGCTTCACTACTTTAGTTATGAGTTTTCTCAAAACTAAAATTTATGGATCCCCTTCAATCATCCATTAAGGCAACCATGTACAAATCCATGGACTAGATGTTAATTTTTCTCATTGTCTGTGGTATAGATTATACTGAGATCCTCAAATGAGCTTATTATTTGGTCTATTTCTAACACTATTTTGGCAAATACCTGCTCTAGTGAGATCAGTTTCTAAATTCCTTAAATTGCAAAGGTTACCCTTATAATAGAAAACATAGTGACACAGAGAAAGACTCAGGTAAAATTCTCCCATTAGGAATACTGAAGACACTTGCCTCATAACACATATACACAGAAAACAGTACTATGAAAAAGTTGTACGTTATCATCACTTTCTTGAGTTCAAAGGGCTTGCGATTTTCCATGAGCTTTGGTCCCAGAGAAGTGACGAAATAGACATACAGTCCTAGGAGGATGGTTTGCGGCAGAGGCGAGGACATGAGGAGCCAATCTTCAACTCTTGGATCTAAGACAAAAACAGTATGTGAGCACACACCTGCTTAGCCAAAGGATAACTAACAGCAACCAACATTTCTTTAATTGAGCACCCAGGTCGTGCCATTGATTGTGAGCTATTTGGGCAATGATCACTAGTATCTTTAGAAAGATGAAAAAGAAATCAACAAGAATAAGGAAGTATCCTGCAGCTAGAAAAAGTGGGACTCTCAAAACCCCTAGGCTTCAACAGGGGTTTTAGGGGAAGTAGTATTGACCAGAACCCAAAAGGAGAGAGTGACTTGGAGAAGCCCTCCTGGAGAAGAGCTGTGTTATGTACTGATTTCCTACATGATGGGATTAGTGCCCTTATAAAAGGCACCCCAGGGAGCTCTCCTTTTCTCTTTCCCCATGTAAGGATACAATGAGAAGATGGCAGTCTGCAACCTGGAAGAGGGTCCTCACCAGAACCTGACAGTGCTGGCAACCTGATTGCAGACTTCCACTCTCAGAACTCCAAGAAATAAATTTCCATTGCTTATAAACTACCCCATCCATGATAATTCCTTACAGCATCCTGAGTGCACTAAGACAAGCTTTGACTGCCATTTAAGGGATTCGGCCAGCCCAAGACAATTCTGTATGCATGGGGCCAGAGGAATAGATATCCCAACTCCACTCTCCTCCTCCTCTCCACTGGCTGAACCTAAGCAGAAAGCAGAGGGCAGAGGAGCAAGCCCAAGGATAGTCTTCATGGGTCGTTCTCCAGGGCCCAGCACAGGGTGCCAAAGCTATCTGAAAGAGAGAACACCCAGCAACATCCCATCATGTGTCTGTAGCTACTATTAATATTTTAGAGTTTTTCCATTCACACCTTCTTTTATTTATTAAAAAAATGTTTGTGTTTGCTGCTTCTTTTTTTCTTCCCCAGGAATTCTGGTACACTTCCACATATACGATATCACAGGATCACAGAATAGAAAGGGAACTGAGCATCCTCTAAGTAGCCCAAGTATGAGCTTTTGGAGTCTGGCATGTGGGCTAACCACTGTGATATTCTGAGTAAAAAAATGCACTGGTCTCACAATTGCAAACAAAAACTTACTTGCTTACTGCCAGCTGCAGGCCAGCAGAGATGGATAAATAAAAAAATTACAACTCAGGACAAAATGTGATTAAGTCTGTAATTGCTAGTAGTTCAAGTGTAATTTTACTAAATGTCCTCATGAAGCCAGAGCATTATGAAGGAAAGTAAGTATGGATAACTTTCCAGAAGGATCTGTCTCAAAATTATGCCATGACTAACCTCAGGATGCTAACTACTGTCACTTTATCAATTGGAAAAGAAGGGTAGCAGCTCTTGCTCATTTAAGCTGCTAATGATGTGCTGAGTACTGACAAATTCTGAATACCCTGCAAGTGCGACCTTCCACTCAAAATTTCCTCAGTAGGACTCTATGACTGATAACTCACTTGGCCCTAATTTTAGCACTAGAGTGCTTACATTTGACCATCACTGTGCATGGCTGATTATTATGCATTCAAATAAGCCTCCCTCAAAAATACTGACAGATGCCTCTGTCTCAAAAATAAATAAATAAATAAATAAAGCTAAAGAGTCAAGAGTCAGCACCAGACTGGATCCCAGGACATTTAAGAATTTAATATATGATTAAGGAAGCCCTATAAACAAGCAGAGAAGGAAGAGATCTTCAACAAATGTCGATAGGAAAACTGACTGCTTGGGAGAAAAATGAGTTTGTTTCTTATCTTATGTCCTATACAAGCATGTTCCAAACTATGCAAGGAAGCAAGCTATTTAAAGACTTTCTACAAAGAGTGGGGGAGTGCTAGAATGCTGGGTTAAACAAACAGGTTGAATTACTGCAGGATTTCTTAATGCTTCATGTTCACCATGAATTGCCAAGATGGGAATGGTAGTATGACACATTCTCCAAACTTATTTGGCCACAAAACATTAACCTTTTTGTAGAATGTTACTTAACATCGTATGAAACTAATGTTCTGTGGAACAAAGTTTGGGAAATATAGCCATTCACTAAAACAAATTTACAAATTAAATGACTGAAGATTAGGTGGTCAGACATACAAAGAAGCAGCTAGTACCAATCCTACTGAAATTCCAAAAAATCAAGGAAGAGAGATTCCTCCCTAACTCATTGTATGAAACTAGTATCATCCTGACACCAAAATCTGGCAAAGATACAACAATAACAACAAAAAGAAAACTGCGGGCCAATATGCCTCATGAACAGATATGCAAAAATCCTCAACAAAATACTAGCCAGCTGAATCCAGCAGCACATCAAAAAGTTAATTCACAAGGAACATTTGCTATGGCTCTGCAAGTCACAAAGGAAGCCTCCATAAATAAAAGTTGCCACAGAACCAGGGACCAGGGGAAAAAATTAAAACTGATGAAACTTTGATGGATTTCTTCTATAAGTGGGTAGTACAAACCTTAAATACATGAACATCATTGTATTAGTCCATTCTTGCACTGCTATGAAGAAATACCTGTGCCTGTGTAATTTATAAAGGAAAGAGGTTTAATTGACTCAACACAGTTCTGCATGGCTGGGGAGACGTCAGGAAACTTACAATCACAGCACAAGGCACCTCTTCATGAAGTGGTTGGAGAGAAAATGAGTGCCAGCAAGGGAAATGTCAGACACTTTAAAAAACCATCAGATCTTGTGAGAAACAATCATCAGAAAAGTATGGGGAAATTGTCCCCATGATTCAATTACCTCCTACCAGGTCCCTCACATAACGTGGGGATTATGGGAACCACAATTCAAGATGAAATTTGGGTGGGGACACAGTTAAACCATATCATTCTGCCCATGGCCCCTCGCAAATCTCATGATCTCATATCCTCACATTTCAAAACACAATCATTGCCTTCCCAACAGTCCCCCAAAGTCTTAACACATTCCAGCATTAACTCAAAAGTCCAAGTCCAAAGTCTCATCTGAGACAAGGCAAGTCTCTTATGCCTATGAGCCTGTAAAATCAAAGGCAAATTAGCTATTTCTTATATACAATGGGCATACAGACACTGCATAAATACAGCTGTTCCAAATGGCAGAAATTGGCCAAAACAAAGGAGCTACTGGCCCCATGCAAGTCCAAAATCCAATAGGCCAGTCATTAAATCTAAATGTTCCAAAATGATCTCCTTTCACTCCATATTTCACATCTAGGTCATACTGATGCAAGAAGTATGACTGTGGGCATACTTGGGCATGCCCAAGTATAGGCATGGCCTTGGGCAGCTCTGCCCCTGCTGTTTTCACTGGCCAGAACTGACTAACTGTGGTTTCTCCATGTATATAGTGCAAGCTGCCAGTGGGTCTACCATTCTGGGGTCTGGAAGATGCGGCCCTCTTCTCACAATTCCACTAGTCAGTGCCTCAGTGGGGACTCTGTGTTTGGGGTCTATTTCCCTTCCACATTGCCCTAGCGGAGGTTCACCATGAGGGTTCCACCCCTTGCAGTGAATTTCTGCCTTGACATCCAGGAGTTTCCATATATCCTCTGAAATCTAGGTGGAGGTTCCCAAACCTCAATTCATGACTTCTGTGCACCCACAGGCTCAACACCATGTGGAAGCTGCCATAGCTTGGGGCTTGCCCACTCTGAAGCCATGTAGTTTGGTTCCTTTTAGCCATTCCTGGAGCATCTGGGATGTAGGACATCAAGTCCCTAGGCTGTACACAGCAGGGAGGGCCCTGGGCCCAGCCCAAAAAACTATTTTTTTTTCCCATAGGCCTCCAGGTCTGTGATGGGAGGGACTGCCACCAAGGTCTCTGACATACCCTGGAGACATTTTCCCCATTGTCTTGGTGATTAACATTCAGCTTCCGTTACTTATGCAAATTTCTGCAGCAGGCTTGAATTTCTCCCCAGAAAATTGGATTTTCTTTTCTATTGCATCATCAAGCTGCAAATTTTCCAAACTTCTATGCTCCTTCCTCTTTAACTCTTTGCCACTTCGAAATTCTTCTGCCAGATACCCTATATCATCTCTCTCAAGTTCAAAGTTTCACAGATCTCTAGGGCAGGGGCAAAATGCTGCCAGTCTCTTCCTTAAAGCATAGTAAGAATCACCTTTATTCCCGTAAGTTCCTTATCTCCATCTGAGACCACCTCAGCCTGAAATTCATTGCCCATATCACTATCAGCATTTTGGCCAAAGCTATTCAACAAGTCTCTAGGAAGTTTCAAACTTTCCCACATTTTCCTGTCTTCTTCTGACCCCTCTAAACTGTTCCAACCTCTGCCTTTAGCCCATTTCAAAGTCAATTCCATATTTTTGGGTATCATTATAGTAGTGTTCCATTCTCTGTGATACCAATTTACTGTGTTAGTCCATTCTCACACTGCTATGAAGAAATACCCAAGACTGGGTAATTTATAAAGGAAGGAGGCTTAATTTGGCTGGGGAGGTATAAATTTGCCTGGGAGACCTCAGGAAACTTACAATCATGGTGGAAGGCACCTCTTCACAGGGCAGAAGGAGAGAGAATGAATGCCAGCAGGGGAAATGCCAGATGCTTAAAAAACCATCAGATCTCATGAGAACTCACTCATAATCACAAGAACAGCATGGGGGAACTGCCCCAGTGATTCAATTACCTACCACTGGGTCTCTCCCATGACATGTAAGGACTATGAGAACTACAATTCAAGATGAGATTCATATTGTTATGTCTAGTTTTTATTGCTAATAAAATAAAAAACTAATAAAAACAATACTGGCCAGGCACATGGCTCACATTTGTATTCCCAGCAGTTTGGAAGGCCAAGACGGGTGGGTCACTTGAGGTCAGGAGTTCGAGACCAGCCTGGCCAACATAGTGAAACCCTGTCTCTACTAAAAATACAAAAATTAGTTGAGTGTGGTGGCACGTGCCTATGATCTTAGGTACTTAGGAGACTGAGGCATGAGAATAGCTTGAACCCAAGAGGTGGAGGTTGCAGTGAGCCAGAGATCATGCCATTGCA